GGGAAAGAGCTGAATAGCACCCACATTTTATGGTCTTTATTCACTCCAGCCATTACCTTTAATAGCAAAGTTGAAGAAAGCAGAGCTCCTGTCCCCATTGCTGGAGGCCTCGCAGCACACGGTGCCGGTGCTCCTGAACATGCTTGCGTTAATGGTGCTTTCAACCAGGATTCGTTCAAATGACGGCACTGATGAATTTGTGTAACTGATTTTGACATCCATGGGGGATATTGTTGGTGAATCAAAACACCTGGGAGAAACAATACTGACAGTTATCTGCCATGGATTGCTACCTGGAATGGATGACAGGTCCTGCTGTTAAGGCAGATAGCCACTGCCAGACCATCAGATAACTAAACAACACTGCTCTACAAAGGGGTTCAGCTGAAGATCTTATCCTCAAAATTTAGTCTACTCAACAATGTCTCATTGTCTTCTATGTAGTGGGTGAAATGGATACATACACCAAGCCTGACCCAACTGGACACCATGAGGTCTTTGCGTTTGCTTTTGCCTAGAGATACCTACAGGTCTGTAAGTCCACCACGGGTTTTGTACTGTTCAACCTGTATCTCCAACTTCAGCTTCAAGCAGTTGTGGTCCATTACCCACTCTTGAAAACTTTCCCCAAGCATAATTTTATTACGGCACAAAAAAAAATCCATGATGTACATACAACACCATCAAGCTTATATGCAGCCAGAAAATAACCAGTTCTGTTGTCTCAAGATGCTGCCTCTCCTTCATATGTCACATATTTACTGCATGAACACACAGCTAAGATAAAAAAAAAGTGCTATTTAAAAAAAATTAGGGAAATAACAATTATTAAGGCATAAAACAAATTACGCAGGTGGGAGACCCATGACTTGCTAGTACGAGATCAAAACCTTAAAACATGCTCCACAAATGTTCACTTCACAGTGAAACTCTACAATCTTTTTAGCAACATGGTAAGTAGACATCAGGTTTTATTCATAATAACTCCAGACTTGTTTACTTGTCGTATGCTTCACATGAATAGAAATCTAATTACTTTATGTCTTGGAAAATTATACCCTTACACAATAAACCAAAAGATAACAGCCATATTCACAAGTGACTCTGTGATTGTCATTCTGTGAAACTGCATACAGAACGTGTGTCATTTGGGGCCAAACTGATAAAAACCTTAGCTAGCTTGCAGCAGAGAGAAAGTTTGGCTTTTACTTTTCTGCAGCAGAAAACATTGGTTATTTCCCTTTCAAGGACAGAATGCAAAGGGGAATAATGAAACATACCCCTGCCTTCCCCTCAAACCACTGCAAATAATGCAATGCCAAAAATTATGGAAACAGTGATGCAACATTTGAACATAACTGTTACTGAGTCATTTTATGTTCTTATTTTTTAATTATAAATTGGGTGTGTTGCATGTAGAATAACCTTTGGAGACTCTGGTTTACTTAACTCACCTCTGCTCCGTTCCCGGGGAAAAATACCAGTATATGGTAGGGGCTGGGAATCCAGCTGCTACGCACTGGAGAATACCATTGCTAAGTATATCCAGAGTGAGAATCTCTGGTTTCGCTGCAATAAACAAAAACGAGAGTCACACATTAGGGGAACACAGAATCTTCATTGCCACTTGCTCTTCATCCCAGCAACTTGTGTGCACCATCATCTGTGGAATTACTCAGGTGAACAGAGCTTCACATGTTCAAGGGTGTCAGGGTCTGAATTGGTGTCCTGCAAGCACTGACCATCTGTGAAAATATCAGTTCTTACACTGAATGCTTGGGCTGGATTTCAGAACACCTTACCTCCACTGAGTATCTGGTTTGATGAAAGATCCTAAACCAGCAAAGCCCACAGCTTAAACAACCCAAAGAAGCGTGTGCTTGGAAAAACAGTGCAGTTCCCGTTCCTAACCAGTATGACTTTACCTGCCTGTAAAAAGGACAGTTTCTTCACAGTTATAAGTGTACTAAATCTGTCAAACCACATCTCTCTTACATCTGTCCTTTGTATTAAATATTACCACCACAGCCAGAAAAGGAACTACAGTGCAAGGCAACCAGTACAGAGAGAGTTCCCACAGAGGACATACGTGCCTCTAAGATACCACTACCAAAACTCCCGACTGCCTGACTCTCTGAAACACTGCATGCAGAGGAAGCTAATATTTGGCTGAATGTATTAGCTTTCCAAATGATAATTCATGATTGCTTTGGTAGTTTAGAAAGCAATCCGGCCAGACAATGCCTCCTGCCATGTCCTGCACCAGAGCTGGTGCTGCACTCGGTTCAGGAGCTGCTGTTTTGAGCACGGCAGGAAACCAGAGCGATCAGGTGGACTTTACAGTCATTAGTTCAATGTCATAGGCTTCAGCCAAGGGCACCGCCAACACAGCAAGATGTTTTTCTTGGAGAAACTTGCATTAGAGGCCTTATTTCCCATAACTACCTTAGCTTCCTTGCAAAATCACCCCAAAAAAAGTTAATGGGAAAAAAACCAGACTATATTCCAATGATGCTGCTCACCTGACAGGTACAAGTTAAGAGTCCATTATCAGTTAATATAACTTTACAGAAATGTAAGATGAACTTCTAATATCCTAGGAAGTTGTGGAGCTGTATAGAGTACAGTGAGAAAACACAGATTTATTTCAGATAAAATCCATGTACAAAGACTGCACGGTGTTAGTTTTTAATGAATATTCTACTTGCTGATTAAATTAGAGGCAATAAAGCACATGTATATTCTCAATCACATAGCATCTCCTCATGACTCATGTTACAGGAACCGAATGTTCTTTCATTTCTAAATCCGCATGTTGTGTTTTATGGAAACACCAAGAACCAAACATTGTTGCAAAATGTTGAGAAGGATTTTCAGCATTACTCATTTGGTGAGGAACTTTTTGATAGTGCACAGCATCTCACCCAGCCTCAGTGCTCATGGAATACACACAATTCACGTTTCCGAAACTCCTATCAAAATGGTTGGATTGTGAAATTGTAATTAGCTCATTTACTACCCGTGTGCAAGCAATATGTTTAGGTATATGCTATGTTTTAGGCAACGTTACAATACAATGTAACTCAAGAAATGAGAGAAATGAAAAGTCAAGTATAAGAGGAAAACGAACATTAAGCCCCCGAAAAACTATTGTGTCAGATTTGGGCTGCATCTAACACTCTGAGTGAGGGAAATGAAAATGGCCATGTCAGTCAGGCTTTTTCTGCCATAGAAAACCAGAGCAATACAAGCCTGCCTACACAGCCGTAAGTCCATGTGGACTCATCCTGCAGCCCAGCAGCGAGGGCTCCAGCCCTGCTGCCACGGGAAGCCGAGCTGCAGCAGCTTTGGGAGAACAGCTGACCTGAGAGCAGCTCTACCCGTGATGTCCCTGGTGAAGCACTTCGATGTGTCAGTTAGTGCGATCAGCCTCTCTCCACTAGCACAGACCGCTCCCAAGCCTCCCTGGCTCAGAGGAATTAAGGGATGCGTTTCACTTGCAGCAGCAAAGAGACCCCCACAGCTCCATACCCAAGGGGATCAAGGTGGCTGCTACCACCGTAACCCCGGGCTGTGTGTCAGCACCTGCACCCCTTTCTGGCAGCCAGAGCTTCTTCTTCATCCACCAGCATGGGTGCTCCAGGGGATGCTGGAGCAAAGATGGGCTGGCTTTGGGAAACAGATGCCAAGCTGCCACTGAGCATCTTCTTTAAAAGACATTTTACTGTGCTAGATTTTATGACTTTCACTGCCTAATTACCCCTTCTATCAGACAGGCTCTTAATGACTAGACTTTGCTTACTGTTTTGACTTTAACCCTTTAAATATTTAATGTTTCATTACATTGGTTGGCATATATGCATATAGCCTTCCATAATCAGTCATTAGATGTCTTAAACTTCTAATTTCGCTGAGTTTATTAACTGCTTTTCAGCTTTTATTAATGTTGATTTTGAGTGTAGCGAAGAGGATCTATCCTACTTAATAGGAGGCCGCTCCTATTTTGTCACAATGCTCTGTATAATGTTGTGCATTTAATTGCTTTCTATTACTGATTTCCTTTTCCTCATTGTTAACAAAGTAAATGTCTAACAAGTAACACTTAATATGTATTGTCTGTCATTGCAGTCAAAGAGAGAGGGCTTTCCTCCTGAAGCCACATTTTCTGGATCAGAATGAATCTTTTTATAATACCACGGTGACTCCTCATTTGTTCACTGCATATTCCAATGACAGAAAAACGGCTGAGCTTGATCTATAATACCACGACCAGTTTTCTCTTTGCAGCATGAGCCCCGACTGCACAGGTAGTATTTTTTTGACTACAGTTAAGCCCAGATATTATTTTGCACTAAACTAATTGCTAGATGGACTCTACCTTGCCACTCTGGTGATTTCTACAATTTCTTAATTGTAACTCAATTCAGTATGCTGCTTGTCAAGTTGTAATTTTCTTTTTGGCTCCTAATTTCAGAGCTCCTTCCTTACTCACTTTATGTCACATTTACTATGACTGACTACATTACTTTTTTAAGCAATTTAGTATTGTTTCAGATTAACATATGGAATTACTAAAAGTGTTTAAATCCAAGGCAAGTATTTGGAAAAATACTGCACAGATTAACATATGGAATTACTAAAAGTGTTTAAATCCAAGGCAAGTATTTGGAAAAATACTGCACAGGGATTTTCATGTCTTTCAGCAAGTGCTTCAGCATCGATTTTTGTTTATGTACGTGAAGACATTCTCCTGATTATGAATCCTGTTTTACCTGTTTGATTACTTTCTGCTGATTACTCGCCCAAGCCAGACGTGTAAACATCACGAGCTACATCACAGCAATTTATGTAAAATCCCCACTGACAACAATGCCAGGTCAGGACGCACCATGCGATCAGGATCTGACCCACCCACACGTGATTCACCTGTGGCAGTTACTCTGCGATGTCAAATAACATGGTATGTTGTCGTGCAGTTTGTGTTTCATACCTAAATGATGAGCATTTTACTAGCCACTGAAAACAGGTTCTTTTTCTTAAAAACAAATGCCTAGAAGAATCAATCTATTTCATCATCTCTTTTCAAAACAAAAAAATATTTGCAGGAGCTTAGTCAAAGTGCCAGAAGAAACTCTTTTTGAGTCAACTGTGTCAAATCCATTTGCTTCAGCAATGTCTGCAGTCCACCCAGAGCTGCTGTGCATGGTAACCTGGGCTCTACTGAGACAGCTTAAATGTCTTCATTGCATCCCAAGGCTGATCTTACTACTTACATAACCAGTAGCTGAAGCAAGAGGGGAGAAGACTGAATGCTGCTGGTTGCCCAGACAAGCCATTCAGAAGAACTAAGCCGTCCACGCTCCCTCCTGCCTTGGCCATACTGCTTCACCATGCTGTTCTAAGTCTGGTTTCCTAACCATGACCCACAGGGGTTTTCAGCTTTTATCAAGCAGCAGATTCCTCAAAAGTGGCATGACAGAGCTCTGCACAGAGAACTGACACCTGATGATGACAAAACTGTGGGTTGGGTTTTTTTCAGTTCTTGTGCCCAGACTGCTTCCAAGCAGCCTGCAGAGCCTGGGAGAGCCAGGGCCCCATGAACAGCCCCTTGCTCCAAACACGTGTATGATGCTGCAAGTCGGAGAACACCATCCAGCCTCGTGTGAACTGATAATTCCACAGGCAACCTGCAATTTCTCCCATTCCTTCCCAGAAATGAAAATTCTGGCTCAACAATTTGCTCCGCTAATCTGTAAAATAGTAGAATTATCCCTCGTGACTGTAACCCACACTCATCCATGGTGGAAAAGGACATCAGAGGTCACAGTGCTCTTGTCTCAGAAATCATAGCTAAGAAATGGAAAAGGCACAAGAACACAAATTACAACATTCACAGATGAAGGAAGAAATGCCATGTTCTGAAAGGAGCCCAAGTGATATTTCTAGACCCAAACTATGGCATTGCTAATAGTGATGCTAGAAATGTTGACCTTCAGTGATAAATGAGAAGAATTCAGAAATTAATATCTAGGATTTTGTGCATTTGTGCAAATCTCAACAGTCCTCTGCATAAGCCTATGTCCAGAGAAGGACACATTGCTGCTGAAGCATAGCAGCACCACAGAACTGTATTTGCAGCACATTCACTCACTTTCTATACAGTTCCTCCTGCTGGGCTTGAAGGCATCATTCTCTACCTCGCCTTAGTTTCTCCAGTTTGCCTGCAGTCCCCTCCTTGTTTAATTTTCCTTAAGCCTGGCCTTTAGCATCTGTCAATATTTGTTAGCTGAGAGCATGAAATGCTCTAACAGGATGGCTCTGCTAAGAAGGACAGGGTTTCCTGAAGGTTTCATTGAATTAATTTTGAAATTTCTATTTTGTCTTGAAGAACACTGTTTGGAACTGAGAGCAATGCTCTTTTTTTACAAGCATGTCCCAAAGATGACAGCACACGTATTTGTAAAGCTATGCGAGTATCTCTAAAACAATGGTGATCTGTATTACTATACGGAAGTATTTAGATGCCAAACTCTGCATCAAATATACTACATCAACTTTTTGATGTACAAAAGTTAAAGACAATTAATAGCTTAACTTGGCTGCCAAAAATGCATATTATAGTCCCTGCATATCTTGCTCCATCTTAACTTATCAAATGTTTATGGTACACACTTACTTTTGAGATCATCTTTCCAGGTGCTACAGTTTTTTCGTATATAAACTATCTATCTGCTCTCCAGTAACCTCTGGAATACATTCACTAGAATGGAAGGTCATGCTGGATAGTACGTGGATTTGTGTAAGTACTCTGCACTTTTATATCTTGACATTTAAATAGCTTTCCAGCATGTGCTTCACTTCAGAAAGCCTCTCATATGCTGAACTACACTGTGACATCTTGTGCATACATTATGTTGTATAAAATACAATGAGTGTGATAATGAAATATTTCAGACTGTTCACTTTACTTACTTTTCACATAGACATTAAATGTTACAGAGGAGCTGGCATCAGAATTGGACACAAAAAATGTGTAAATGCCTCCTTCTGTTCCTTTTAATCGGGTAAGGTGAAGTTCACTTGTATAACTGTAAAGAAAAAAACTAATCATTACTGATGCTTACAACTTGCAGTGAACAGGCAATTGCTACACAGAAGCTAAGGAGTAAATTATTAGTGCGCCGTCTTCTTCTGCAGACACTGTCCACGTTGACACTCTTATCTTCCATTACGACTGCCTTTGCACTACAGCATCCAAAAGTTTTGCCACTTCTAACACCCAGATGTGTGCCAGGGTGACAGCTCAGCACCAGGCTTGGACCCTGTGCATGCACCACCGCCTGCTCCTTTTCTCGCTGAGGGGGGAACCCAGATACACAACCCAGGCCACGTGTGCTAGGTGCTACACTGGATTTTTGGAGGACCAGGGCTCAGGAGAGAACAATGCACAGCAGAAATAAAAGCATAAGCTTTTGTCCAGAGCACTGGGCTCTGCTGTGGTGGTGGAGGGAGTCTCTGCACACAAACAGCTTTACATTCTTATTTTTGCTTATTGGGCAGGAATGGCATCATGTAGGTGAGTTGTGAGTTTGTGGCCCACTGGTCCTCAGATGGTGCGGTTAGCTCAATGCTATTCCAAATTTAGGTTAGTAGACTTTGCACCAGTTACTGTGGTAAGCCACACGGACTACGAGATCTTTTATAATTACAATTTTCTCACCGTCTCCACTTTCGTCTTTCCAGAGCAGACTCTAGTTTGCCGTTCCAAATTGAAATCAACAGCACTTACAATCATTCATCTTACCTGTTATTGCCCACAGTCTTGAACTTGACGTAATGGTCTGATGAATTCTGCAATGTTTCGTTCATGTACATCCAGACTTCTTCCTTCGGTTTTGGATATGCCTCATATTCAACTGTTAAATTTCCATTTTGTCCTGCATTTATATCTATTGTGGTATTCATTGTTGCAAACAAACGGACAAATCCTTTAGCTGATGGCCATAAGAGGAGAAGAAAAACAATTTCAATTTCAGGACCATTTAGAAGATTGTCAGTACTCTAACCACATTTAGACTACTTCAAGATCTAGTGATCAAACATCCAGCTGTGAAACAGGAAACCTTATCTACAAAGCAGAACTTGAACCCTCACCTGCCAAAACCAAGGCCACTAGCTATATATAGCAGTGAGGCACAGGACTTAAAGCAGCCTTGAGTGCCTTAACAGAAATAATTCCATCTTCTGGTGATAAATAGCCTCTGTTTGCTTTTGGAAAAATGGAAGCATGTGCTTACTTCTACTCAAGTATTTACATTTTTCCAAAAATCAGAGTTGCTAAAGGTATGGTACAGAAGAAACACTAATTAAAAAAAAAACCAAGATAAATTGATCATTTATGACAATATACTAGAGTATTTAAGGTTTCTTTGTCAAGTGTAATGAAGAACGACATTACAAATGAAGCTATTAAAACCTGTAATTAGAGAAAAATGTGCTAAGTCCACAGGCCTGGATACCAATTGTCTTAAACTACGGCATTC